TTAAAAAGCTTTTGTGATGTTTGCAAGAAATACTTGGGGCTCTATATCAGTATCAGCTTAGGGTCGGGATATTTTTGTTTGATCCCACACACTCGGGTACATCCAAGCAAAGTGTATTTTGTGACACAAAAAAATTTATTGCTTCCTCTTGCATTCGCTGTGGATCATTCTCTTACAAATTGAGTTTGTTCATATTTTTTTTATTCATTGGTACAGTAAAAGGATAGCTTGCACGCTTAAATTACCTACCGCATCTTTCACAGTAAAAACACTGGTTTTACCCAACTTCTCAGCGAAAGATACTGTTAAAACACTGTATCTGAAGATCATATGTTGAAACTGAAGTATTTCTACAGTATTTCATAGAATTGCTACTTGTATATTATGAAGTGCATAGGCATTAGGTTAGTATTAGAACTGATTTTCTGTAAAGAGAAATGTAATGGATGTTGCAGTGCAGTTTGTTCTTTAAGGTTGATTAATAATTTGCATAGTGAAGTAATTTCCAAAAACTCTTAAAATGTTAGAGTGATTTAACTAACTCTCTAGAAATATTGATACAGAAGTGTCCGATTCCTATGTCATGATTTCACACATTTGAGAATTACTTTTTAATTTTTTTTTTTTAATGTAACTGAAATACTAAGAGCATGGAATGTTGAAGGAGGCAGCAATTTTTGCAGTTCTCCTGTCTTCTATAACCTAGAGTAAACAAGTTTGTCAGGATGTGCCAATGAGGAAATATAACCAGAAATTGGAATTCTCTGTTTACTTGTCTACCTAATATCACTTATCGTGGAAGAGCAAAAGCTACACAACAGCTCTGTTAAGTCAGGAAGATACATGTTCCTGGTTTTGAAATGATCGGCATAATCTTTGAAATCATCCTCTTAACTTTTTGTCAGGGAAAATGTACGTGTAGTTGGGAAAAGCAAAATATCATATAAATTATATAAATCTTTGCTTACTTATTTTTCCTTTTTCTTTTTAGTACAGTTGGCAAATTGACATTACTGTTAGTAACTGAATTTTATTGTAAACCTTGAAAACATTTTGCATCCTGATTTCTGCTTGATGGCACAAGATGTATTTCTTTCTTTAAATACTTGTTGAGGCAGGCTGAGACATAAGCCTGATTCAACCAAACCTTTAGTTCTGTAACTAACCCCTCTATCTTCCCTGGGACACTGAGTAATTGCTCCCTTAAATCTGGCAATAGCTTTCAACATTGAGCACGGTACACGTTTTTAAGACTTTTTTTTTTTTTGCTTACACTTTTAACCATATTGCATCTTCTCTTCGATAGACATTTGTTATTTAGTTTGTTTTAATACTGATTTTATACTAGGTGTCGGAAATCTGCAAAGATCATCCAGTCAGCGTAGCACACTCACATACCAAAGAAATAATTACGCTCTGAACACAACAGCTACCTATGCGGAACCCTACAGGTCAATGCAGTATCGACTGTCAGAGTCCAGTTATAACAGGCTGCAGCACGCAATGCCCGCTGATGATGGGACCACACGATCTCCATCCATAGACAGCATTCAGAAAGACCCCAGGCAAGTCCATTTGTGCTTTCAAGAATCATACGTATTTGCCATAATAAGATTTTTAATACATTCCTTTAATATATATGGCACTTTGTGCATATTCTAGTTTTACATTGTTTAAACAATCGTGACTAATTTAGATATTAAGATCTATACCTTGATAGCCAAAGTAATAAATGCAGTCTACTATTAAAGTAAGAAAGAGCAACTTTTATGCCTGTAGTTATTATTACTTCTTTCTTCCATGTTTATTTTCATGTAGAATTTCTTACAGGAAATACTGAAAAATTTGAGAATTGACTGGTTTGTTCCAAATGTTTTTAGTAACTCTACAGAACAACCTGTAATATTGTTCTAAGTTTTCTCTTTATGGGAATGGGAATCGGGGTTTGAAAATTAGAAAATACATACCTCATTTATTTGAATGAATTTTTCATGAGCAGCCAGCTTAAATTTCAAAACAACATAAGTTTAAAAATTATAAAAAATGCACCATTTTGAATGTGAATATATGTTCATATTTTTTAAATAGTTACTAGCTTGATGTTGTAAATGTACATACACAGTGTGGGCATATGACAAGTGTAATATTATCATTACAGTCTATTGGAGACACTGTTCATTAAAAACTTGTATTTTAAAATGAGAGTATCAAAACCCAGATCATGCAAAGCTTGGAGGGTTTTATGGTACTGTTTATCTTCAGTATGGGTATGTGATTGCTAGAAATTCTAGTCCATTCTCAGATCACCTGTTCATTGAGGCAGCTTCTAGACACTCCTTGGTCATGAAAGCACGTCACACATTCTGCTGGTCTAGAAAGAACTGAAAGCGGTACACCTCTTGCTAGAGGACATGGACTCCATTGATGCCTTGGGTCTTTCATATGGAGACATTAGGGCACCAAATAAACTTTGAAAAAAGATAGCTAGTAGCTGTGATCAGACTGGAGTCGTAACACTGACATTTTTTGGGCTTCCTGCTTTATAGAAGGCTCATAGCATCATTCAGTTGTTTTCTAGTTTGGCCCTATCCTTCACTCTCCAAAATAAAAGCGCTGTTTTAATAGGTTTTGTTGATCGGTTTATTAGTGGAAATTAGTATTACTATTTTTTAATAGGTATTGAGAGACTGGATTAATTTCATTTAACTGAATGTTACATTCATCTGAATGATGCTAATAGGATAATCTTACCTCTAAGTAGTAACGTTTGCTAGCTGCTTGCTACTGCTGCCCTATTCTGGCATGGCTTACAAGAAAAGTTACTTAAAATAGGGATGCTTTGCATTCATAACAAGGAACTTTAAAGAAATTCTGACTCAGTTTTCATTGCTGATGCACCTTCTTATCTTGTAATTTCACAGTAGAATAGTTTTTACCTTACATTTTAATCTGTTTCAGTTTCTGATTTGCATATCATGCTATTGCAGAGGTTAGGTTAGTGTGATACTGGCCTCAGACTGGGCTATTTGAAAGCATCACTCTAGAATAAGAGTGAGGGAGCATTCAGAAAGCTACTAGTTTTATTAGAAAGGCAGTTCTTCCCAAGGTGTTCCTATCATTAGTATGGAGAAATAAACCTCTGAGTTGTTGAGAAGTTCAAAGTAGGCACATAACTGGAATGGGGTAGATTTAGATTAGATACAAAGATAGAAATTATATTAGATATAATGATAGAAATATTAGATAGAAGGAAGAAATTCTTCCCGGTGACGTTGGTGAGGCAGTGGCAGAGGTTGCCCAGAGAAGCTGTGGCTGCGCCATCCCTGGAAGTGTTCAAGGCCAGGTTGGATGGGGCTGTGAGCGACCTGGTCTGGTGGGAGGTGTCCCTGCCCATGGCAGGGGGGTTGGAACCAGATGGGCTTTAAGGTCCCTTCCAACCAAACCATTCTATGGTTCCATGAACTGAACTTTCCCTCATTGGTGACTGTAGGAATCCTGGGGGGACCTGACTGGCAAGCTAGCATTAGCCTTTGAATACCTCCCCAAATGTTCTTGGAACATCCTTTTTTGTTTGTTTATTGGGTTTTTGAGCATGGAAAAACTTAGATACTACTTTCCCCCCCCAAGTCTTCCTTTACAGAAGGAAGATAACCCAGCATATTAATGAGTATATTTCTAAATCTGTGAATTGAGCATGGATATGTTTATGACTTTTCCAGGATTTGTCTGCACAAAATCATTTTGTTTGATGAAGATTTTATTTTAGTGATTTTAAGTTTACAGTTCCTGAATAACTCAAATTATGCATCTGATCATGATGATGAAATTTCAGGCTGTGCAGCTTACATTGAGGTATAATTGACTTCAAACTAGGAGGAACGTTGAGCACTGAGACAAAAATGTTGTGTGGAAAAGATGCCACTGAGCAGTGTTGTTAAGTGGGTGTCTGTTGCATTATATATTTAAGTTGTGGGAGATTTATGTAGGTTGCAGTGTTTGAATTGGTATAATTTTAGTATATATGTATTTGTGTGATCAACAACCAAGCTAACTGCAGAACATAGAATATGAAGCGTTCTTTTCCAGTTGGAAGGCTAAAAGGTGATATTGACTCATAGTTATTCTAATATATCTGTTTTTCCTCCTAGCCCTGATACTCCAGAACAAAACCAGAATTATTGAAAAATACTTAAGATGCTGTAGTAATTCTACTTGTTAAATAAACACACATTTATAACTAATGCCTTCTTTTGAATGTGTTCATCTAATGAAGGGAGTTTGCTTGGCGAGATCCAGAACTGCCAGAAGTCATTCACATGCTTCAACACCAATTCCCATCGGTTCAGGCGAATGCAGCTGCCTACCTTCAGCACCTGTGCTTCGGAGATAACAAAGTGAAAACAGAGGTACTGTAAGCAGTGCATTTCTGTTCCTGGGGAAGCTAGAAAAGAAAAAACAGAGCTCTTACCTCTTGTTGGTTCTTTTCATCATAACACAGTATTTTGGACCCTTTTGTGTTTCTGGGTGTGCCAGATGTATGGTAATACAGAAGTACCTAGGTGTGTGTAATTATACACACGCATGCACGCTCTCTCCCTCTCCCCCCCACTGTCATAAATGGCTGTGTGGAAATTACATGAAAATATTATACATCCAAGTTGTGTAATCCAGCAGAACTGTATAGTAAGTTTACCAGAGCCTGATTTTGTGTAACCTGTTGATGACTAGAGACTAAGAAAAACAAGAATTCTGGAAGTCTGGTTTTGATCAAGATATTTTGAGGCATCGTAGGGA